CACTGTCCATGTCACTGACAAAGACATTGAACAGCACCAGCCCCAGTATCGGCCCCTGAGGGACTCCACTCACTTTGCGCAGGGATGACCTGCTCAAAGCATCAAAGAAATGAATGTGAGCAGGGGGGAAATGACACCACCACCTTCCTTTCTACAAAGCAAATCTCCTTTCTTTGCTTCATTCCTTCAATCCCTCTAGCTGCATTAACTCATTTTCAGGTGTTTGTGGACTTTCTTTGTCCTGGACTGAGGTTAAATTATGTTGTTTGATGATGAGTATGAGTGAAGAGTTCTCACCCAGGGCATCCAGGCTGATGCATAAACAAGACCAGCCTTAGCTAAGGCATGTGATCTTAAAAACGACAAAATCACCACCGGGAGGGTATTCAGCCACCCAGCAGAAAAACTGGCATTAGAGCAACCTAGGGCAGATAGACAGCTGAGCAAGAAGGAACCGCAGGCCACTTACAGAGTTCTGGACATTGAAGCACAGCTCAGGTTGCTGGAAGGGATTGGGGCTGTCCCCGTCCTCCGAATTATGTGAGGCAGCATTTTGTCGCACTCGGGAAAGAGGCTGAATGACGCCTGGCTTGGTCTGCTCGTGTCAATACCACGAAACAGGGGAAAGGCAGAGGAAGAGCCGGGGAGAGAGAGAGAGAGAAGAGAAATGAGCAGTTAGGCAGCAAGATGTCTCTGCCATGCAAGTGAATAAGACAAATCCAGGCACCTGAGCTCAATTTCTCAGTTGTGCTGCTGACACCAGCTACCAGACTGGGAGGGAGAGCTACTGAAACACACACCAAACAATCCCTCTGGTGTGAGTATTTTGGACAAAGAGACTCAGACAAGTCACGGTCACGACAGGACCAATGGGTTACAGAGAAGGCCAGGACACAGGGAACGATCTGCCACAGAAATAGCATCTGCAGTGGTCAGAGGGTATGGCATAAGTATGTCAAGGCTTGGAGAACGTAAGCGTCATGAATGGAAGACACAGGAGGGAAACATCAGCCAGGAACAGGTATTGGCAAAAGCTGGGGATGAAATTGAACCAGCTAGGGCTCCATTTAGAAATGCAGACACAAGAGCAGAGACAAGAGTCTGAGATTTGACCTAGATGTCATCACCGTTGGATGCTGTGTGGTAGTGAACAAAACATCTAACACCAAAGGGAGTAGAAGCGCGAACTGAGTAAGCCATCAAAAACCTACGTGAGTGAAAGCTGCAAGGGTAAACAGGGATAAAAGCTGCAAAAACACTTGCATCAAGTTTTCAAATTGACAATATTTAAAACTCAGTGCATTTGTACCAACTTGAGGTATAGTGGAGGACAGTATAAGAGTCAACAGTGAGACCTGCAGGGCTGGAAGTGAGGACACACAAAAGGAAGAGGCAAGCTCTATGCGCTGAAGAATGTATAGGGACACTTCAATAAGGTACATGGCAGATGTACTTACTGATTTACTGTCGTCTTGTGACGTAATGAAGTTAATGGAAGCCTGAAAACAGAAATACAGGTTTAAGTTTGGAGTCCATACAGGAAGTCTTTAGTTTACCCTGCTCCATACAAAAAGAAATACAAAACTCCCAACCCCTCCCCTGCCCCGCTGCCCACCCTGTACAGGGAAAAGCCCCCAAGTCCCATACTAACCCCTGCCACACCTTCTTCTTCATGTGGGGAGCAGTCCAGAGCCTACCTGCAAGAGCTCCTCCCTGTGAGAAGGCACTCACAATTCTCTCTGCACATCTCTGGGCGTTGACCCCCCACCCTCTCTCCCCCTCTCTGCTCCAGCTCAGCTGGTCCTGGTCCTTGTCTACCTCCCCCTGCCCTCTGCACTTGCTACTGAGCTTGAGCAAAGCCATCAGCACCACAGCTTCTCTGCCAGGAAGCGTTCACAGATGCCATCTCAGCAGGGGCTAGCAGGGAACAGCCTCTCGTGCCTCGGCCTGCCGCCCCGGGCGCTGCTCTCCACAGCAAGCCCTGGGTGCACACCAAGCCCAAGAGCTGGGGAACACGGAGCCAGAGGAAGCAGCGAAGAGCAGCGGTGCCGGGTGAGAGCAGCACGGAGCAGCAGCGCACACTGCACACCAACAGGCACTTACAAAGCGGGTCTCCCTGCCTGAGAGGTGAGCAGGCCGAGGGGCTGCAGGCATCTGGAGAGGGGCAACGCCAGGGAGGATCGTCAGGGGAGAGAAAGGGGAGAGAAAATGAAGAGACTGGGTTTTCTGCGTGAGAGGCTGAGACAAGCACCTTTCCCAGCACAGACACTGCAGTTGCCCAGAGCTGTCGGTGTCCCCACACAGCTCCTTGCTGTCTGCCATGGAGAAAGCCCCTCCGCCCTCCTTGGCACTCGCACACAGACCCAACACAAACACCTCCTTCCTCCTCCCACCTGCTTCCTCCCCCACCAGAAGCTTGCAGAACTCAAGGCCAAGCAAGACCATCATGACACCAGCTTCAGGACTTCCCTCGGTAATTCTTCTGAGAGCTCTGAAATAAGCCTGTAAATTCTGTCTGGACTATAAGATGTCAAAACCAAAGAATTTACATTAAAAATAGATGGCAGCAGAGCATTAGAGATGCAATTCCTTGGAACTTCTACTCTGGAGCAACAAGTTGAAGGTCAAGTTTCTTGAATCCTCAGAAAATATACAAGCCAGAAGGCTGAAGATTGCTGTGTCTTTCAGTGTTATCTGCTGGACCTGTTCCATTTCGTGCAACATTCACTGTCCAGAGAGAACTAAATCTACCAGATACCGAATTACCTGACATGCAGGAGACCACTGTGGAAGGCTCCAATCCAACAAGTATTAAATCACGCGAATGTGACAGAAAGTTCAAGTACAGAACGCAGGGTTGAGAATGTCACTAGCAAGACTAACGGCTCAGCATTGCGACACCAGGGCATCTTCAAGAACAACTGCCAGAGTCCCTAATTCACAACAGCCATGGACCACGTAAAGAAAAACTGCTATCAAAATGACATACAGACTAGATCTCAGAAATGAAAGCAGCCAGCAAACCTGCTGAAGACCTTAAAAGTCTGAAATAAAGGACAAAGTAATTAAATTGGCTATAAATGCTTTAAGAAATCAATAGAATCTCTCGTGGCATAGGCATTTCTGAGCAGAGAGATAGAAACAAGAATAAAGCTGTACAGATTATTGAATACGTTGCTCAAGCTACAGAGAATTCATGACACAAAAAACCTGAAGTGATAGAACAGACTACAAATTACTGCAAGAGCTACGTCACAGGGAATTTGAGACATCCAACCTAAAACTGGAAAGGCAAATGCAAAAATGCCTCCTGGAGTTCTCTTAACTCCACAGAATGCATTAGTGAGACCTTGTTTATTCTTCTCAGAGCCCATGGAGGAGAAAGTGAACAGTTTCACCTGGGAAGTTTCCACTGTCAGAGCAGTAACTGCTATGAGGAGACAAAGCAGTCGCTGTTGCCACAGGAACTGTATCATGACAAACCCTTGGACTCTAAACACAAACAATTTATCCCTGAGCAAGCCCACCCTGCATTAGAACAGCAGATGGCATTATAGCCAGAGGGCTGCTAGCGGCAAGGACACTGGCCCTGAGCCTCCAATGCCAAAACACTGATAAGCAAAAACATCAAGGGTACTACGAAAGTTGTTTAGAACAAACCAGAGCAAGGCACATGCCATCCAAATACAAGTTTTAAAAAAACAGAATCAGAATGAGTAGTCAAATATTGGAGTCAGCATCTAGAAAGATGTAGACTTTCCATCTCTAGAGGTGTTCAAAATTTAATGGTCATGTCCTTGAGTAACCTGATCTAATTGGACCTGCTCCAAGTGTGGTCATAGACCAGAGCTTCCACCCTAAATCATTCCATGAGCCCCTACGTGGCCACCCTTTGGGATGTGGGCTTCTCTGTCAACTGAGAACTGAGGATCTTTAATGACAGAGCAAATTAATACCTAGATCTGTTCCTATCGTAGAATGAGGAGTATTATCCCTACCCCATTCCTTCTAGATAGAAAGGACTCAATCTCAAAGAAAATTTGCACTTGTGGTAAAAGGAAAACTTACAAACAGCCCAAAGCAAACCTCCAATCAGTACAGAACTGCTGTCAGAAAAGCAAATAAGCAAACGTGCAGATGGAACCAAAAGCATTGAAACAGTATTAATACAATGAACAGAATCTTCTTCTAATCTTATTGTGTCCCTGGTGGTCACTGGATTTCAAAGGATCTAAGAACTGAGGGAGATGCAGGATAGGCCAAGGAAGCCACAGAAGATGGACTGAACTGCTGCTCACCACAGCTCCACTGTCCTATTTGCTGCTCCCGGCCACATGGTCCTGACCCTTCTCCTGAGTCAGTGTTAATTGTCACTTCAGCCCAAGATGGTGGAATTCATCTGACTAAGTGGAACTAACCTGGCAAAAAAGAGACAGCTTTTGTCCAGCTTAGAGAACTGAAATGACTTGGCTAAAGATCAGGTAAGGGCCAGAGCCAATGGCACCAAATAGCTGGAGACCAGTTGCATTCAAAAGCAATGCAACAGAGACAAAATGACTAAGGATAGAGTACAAAGTACAATTTTCTGTTCATTCCAGCCTCCTAATATTAAAAAAAAACCACAATAACATGTAATGACTGAGAAGAGAAAAATTCATAAATCCATTTTAGAGTATTTAACTTCATAAGGCTCAACTAACTTGTGAAACCTACCGCCACAGGATGAAAAGTGAAATCAAAGACTTTGCAAGATTTAAAAGAAAATATCAGAGCTGATATGAGAAATAAGAACAGCTAGTGAGAATAGGTAATTCTTAAAAAAAAAAAAAAGTTACAAGAAATAAAGAAACTTCCTAGTTAAGTTGACCTCTAACCAAAGAGTTTTAGAAAATCATTCCCTAAGGGCAGGCTAACCTATAATTCTCTGCTGCAGGATCCTTCAATTTTCTTCCAAACAGCTGATGAGAGCTGCTGGCAAGGGAGACTGAGCAGCACTGATTTACAGACCTGAGATGATTCTCCACATCCCGACTTCTCCATTTCTTCTGACACACCAATTGCCAGAATTAAAGTCTGTGTATAAGGCACTCATGAGGCCATTCTCAAAAAGACAACTACCACTTTGTAGTCACTCTAGTTACTGCCCTGCTCATTACCTTGCTAAGTAAGTTACTCCTCAGAGCAGGACCTTTCCACTGAGTTTGTGAGTAGCTAATCATACTCCTGAGTCTCTGGGACATTTTGAAAGAGCAGAGTTCTTCCCCTAGTTCTCTAGTTGCCTCCTGCAATGGATACCTCTCCACCTCCAAGGTACCACTCTCAAGGATGGAAATTACACTCAGCTTCCTCTCTCCTTCAGCCCTGGTGCCATCTTGCCCTGGAAGCCTCCCTGCCTTTCCCCGTGTTGCCTGTCCTGGGACAGTCTCACCTGCTGATTACTAGGAGAATAGGGGGTTTCGCGTCTGGAATTTCCTGTCCCAGACTCGCCCGCAGGAGCCTGAAAGAGAGAAGACAAAGCTAGATAGTTACTGTACAGCAGCAACTTCCATGCCTCTCCCTTAGCAGTGAGACCAGGAGGCAAGGGAGACCACCGACACCCAGGCCAAGGCCAACTATGGGCCACCTCACTGCGAGAGAGCAGAGTTAGTGTTCGGCACAACAGCAGCTGTCACGTGGCATAAACTTGCAAAAAGTGCTAGAAACAGCAAGGGAATGATGTTCAACATTGGACCCGAGATCACATCCAAACAACCTGCAAGGCCAACTGAACCAGGTTAAAGCCTTCTGCCTTGTAAGACAACCCCGGGAATCCTTTCCCCCTCAACTTCTCTTTAGCCCTCAACAGACGGGACCACAGCCTCGACAAACCTCCCGTTTGTATAGACACTGAGCAAAAAAAGCCACTCCCAGCTGAAAGGAGACAAGACTCATCCATTGCTGTTGGCCTGATGGTATGAATATCCCAGAGCACAGGAACAACAGGGCTCTCACCCCTTCCACAGGAACCTCTTATCACCAACACTCCGGCTAAGCAAGCCTACAGCCAGCCCCAACAGCTCCAACAAGCAAGCAGAGTCCTAATAATTCCCTGCAGCCTGTCCACAGGATTAGGGTTAGGGAGCACGATTTTAAAAGTATTTTAGATGCCTGAATATGGAAACCGGTCATTTGGGATTTAGAAAACTGTTTAAGCCAATCCAGGGTTCCACAATCATTAACACCATGCCCATGCATTAGTGAATCATGTTAATTTGACTCAAGTCAGCCTTGGGCAGTGGTATTTCCACTGACCAAGCCAGGAAATGTGATCTGAAGTTTATATTGGAGCAGAGAGAACATCTGACCCTTCTTAGCACTGTAATGACAGAGAATGTGGCAATATCAACTGATCTACTTCCACGCCTCCACTGCAAAGAGAGTCCTGCCTCACCCTGCTTCTAGCTACTGCTATCCAAGTCTTCCCGGGTGCCAGCACATGCAGCTTACCAATTCCAAGGAAGAAGCTGTCCTACAACACTGTTTTTCAGGGGCTTCAGCTCCCTAACCCAGCTGATACACAACCGCTCCAATCCTGGTGTCAGCACACAGGAGGAAAACACGCCAAGATGGAAAACTGATCCCTTTTGACAGCAACACAGAGCTAGATTAGCTCCAGCTAACTGTGACACCCACCTCCAGACTGCTGAGAGCTGATCTGTCTACCTTCAAAAAGGGTCAGCACTTTGTGACCACTGCTTCTTTGATCTTTTGAACTCTAAAGCTGCATGTCTGTGAAGTCCAAACCACAGCCTGTGACTTTTAATACACTGAGAGGTTACAGAGATTCAACTACATGCCTTGCTCTATGCTCATCTGCCTACACATGCATGAAAAACACAATCTCACCAAGGAACCAGGCTAAAAACATCTAAGAGAACTACAGCTTGGTCTTGTTTTGTTTGGTTGGTTTTTTTCTGTGTTTGGGGGCTGTTTGTTTGCAGCCGTTTTGCTTCTTTTGCTTCTTAGACCTCCCAAAAGGCTGAGAAAACAAAAAAGGAGAGAGGTGTGAGGCTAATCTGGAACACAGGGTCTTTAGGTCTAGTCCTTGCTCTGCCACAGGTTTCCTGTGCAATAGTGAGAAAGTTAAATAGATTTCCCAGAGCAGAAAGCAAAGTTCTGCCTTGAAATCCAAAAGTCTAGATCTAGTGAAATGCATCACTCCAAGGAACAGCATGCTTCTGGGCTGTGGGTTAACTATGTCAGCTGCACTGCCTCTGTTTTCAGAAGTCTAAAAACAGCTTTGTCTGTCCAGGCCCAGACACAGAACTGTGACACCAGCACCATTCTTCTACAAGTCCTGCCATCTCCTCACTCACAACCGCAGCAGATAGGGAACACCCCTGCTCCTAGCCAGACTTCTGCCCACCCAGAGAGACATTAGATAGAACCAGAGAATGGTGGGGTGGGAAGGGACCTTTGGAGATCATCCAGTCCAACACCCCTGACCAAGCACGTCCATCTTGAGCAGGTTGCACAGGATGGCATCTAGGTGGGTTTGAAATCTCTCCAGAGATGGAGACTCCACACCCTCTCTGGGCAGCCTGTCCCAGGGCTCTGGCACCCTCACAGTGAAGAAGTTTTTCCTCATGTTTCAGTGGAACCTCCTGTGTTCCAGTTTGTGCCCGTTGCCCCTTGTCCTGTCACTGGCCACCACTGAGAAGAGTCTGGCCCCATCCTCTTGCCACCCGCCCTTTAGATATTGATAGACATTGATAAGGTCCTCTCTCAATCTGCTCTTCTCCAGGCTGAACAGCCCCAGCTCTCTCAGTCTTTCCTCAGAGAAATGTGCTCCAGCCCCTTAATCATCTTTGTAGCCTCTGCTGGACTCTCTCCAGAAGTTCCCTGTCTCTTTTGAACTGTGGGGCTCAGAACTAGACACAATACTCCAGATGTGGCCTCACCAGGGCAGAGTAGAGGGAGAGGAGAACCTCCCTCAACCTGCTGGCCACACTCTTCTTAATGCTGCCCAGAAGAGTGTGTGGGAAGTCACCCAACGTCACTGCCTCTCCTCACAGACACACACTTGGCAATCACAGGAGCGCCTTGCAGACAAATCACCGGCCATCAGCAACCTGTGGCCTCTACACACAACACTGGAGAAGCACACGTGTTAGGTGGGACCAGCCCCACACAGGCTTTGTGCTGCCTGGCGTGGGGGACCCAGGGCATGCGCGGGGTTTAGTAGGACGCAGGTGGCCTGAACTGGGTGACCACACGTCACACACACAGCATGCTGTGGGACCGCTTGCCTTGGAGTAAAGGTTGGTCTTCAGCACTCCCCCCCGGCCATAGCCCAGGGGCGGGCCCCCCAGGCAAGCCTTGCCTGCTGCTCTCCCCCTGCGGTTAGCCACCACAAAGGGGTTCTCACTGAAGAGGATCGGCTGAGAGTCGATCATACACTCTTGTTCTGGCGTCTCTGGCATCTGGTCCTGGGACAAGGGGCAACCCGTGGGATCCTGCTTGTCTAGCTGGGGTTTTTCTGCCCCGCTCGTGCACTTGTCGGGTGATGCAGGGTCCGGAGGAAGGGCATCCACGCTTCCGATGATCGCCCCTGCAGCTGTTTCTGGGTATGAATCCCGGCTGTCCTGTGCCACTGGCAGGGACAGCATAGTGCAGTCACCCTCCTCTCTGGAGCTGGCCTTATTATACTGAACAGGCTGAGAGGAAGAGAAAAGGATCAGAAAGAAATAAGGAGAACAGACTAAAGGAGAGGAGGGAGAAAATACAGAGCAGCTGCTGATGCTGAGGGACAGGGGAAAGACGAATTCCAGTACTAATGCCCACACAACCATCTATCTCCTTTCTCTCTTCCACTCTACCATCAATCTTGTGATCCCAAACGCTACTTCCAAGCGAGGACCTTGCCGTCAGCACGCAATACAGACACCAAGTAGGTGACAGGCACAAGCACGCTCCCTGCTCTCATCCACATTCCAGCCCGCACTCCAGCAGCTCACCAGTAACACCGCCGCTCTCTAGCAAAACTGATTGCCAAAAAACCTGCACAAGCACTCATCCCCTCCCATCCTGCTGCACCACATCCTCAGTTCACCTCCACCATCCCATGGCCAAACATCAACTGTCTCACTCCAGCATACTTACAGGTAGTTCCAGCACCATCACACAGAATAACACCTCTCACCCCACTCCAGTGCATTTCTATACAGTTATCACCGTACTGTCCACCCCATGCATTTCCATCACACATGGGCAAACATGCTTTTATGGCCCCACTTCACCCAATACACACCAACAAGTAACAGAGAGCTAAATAAGAGCTAACAGAGCACAGACCCCTCTGGGAACTGTGACTGAACTCAGGGCTGAAACAGAGCTCCAGTTCTCCCTAGGCTCAACTCTACCGACCCAAGACGAAGCACTGACTTTTCCTCTTTTGATACTATAAAAGAGAGTTTGTTACCCCAGCCAAAGCCTTCTTCAGGGAAGCAGAGATAATCAGAGAGCAATGATCCAATCTCCTTCTATCCAAGTGCCTGCCGGGGAGCACAAAGATCACTTCTGCTCAGAGCACATTCTACAGTTCCTGTGTCATGGCAGCTTTCACAAAAATAGCTCTCAAGGGCTGGGTGGGCTGATGAGTACAATGGCAGCTGAGAGGCTCAGGAATTTCTGAGGCCCTCCCCTAACCCCTCAACCCCAACCCAACCTAAACTAGTGGTTGGCAGAGCACTGGCTCATATCGTATTTCTTCAGACAGTGAAGCCTGTGCTACCCTTAGAAATTTTGCTGTTGTAGCTACATGACTTTCCAATGTAAAGCAACCCTACAAAAAACCCCAAACAAAACCCCCCAAATTCCAACCTTCTTTTCCCAGAGTGCCATAAACTACACTAGCAAGAGCTCTCGTGCACACAAAGTTACGCCAGGCAAAAAGGACTTTCAGGAACATTATTTGTTCATTGGGGATGCTGTAATGAAAACACTGCCAGCAATCCATCACCACAAAGTGGGCTTGTTGGTCCTACAGCCAGGCCCCTCCAACACCACTGCTGCTTCCCCTGGCCAAGCAGAAGACACCGACCAACCCGGGTTCCAGCTTCATCCCACCACCAAGGCCTACTCTGCTTCACACAAAAGGAAAAAGTAAACACCACTTTAGGGCACTGTGGAGATGAGCTTCTCACCGAGACTGCACAAAGTCTGATAGTCAACGGGGAGCCTCGATCCCTACTTTGTTCACGGACGTGACTGGAACTGCGCTTCATCTACACCTCCATTTAATCTCCAGAGCTTCTGCTGCATCAGGGTATTCCAGCGCAGGATGCCTCGCTCCCTCTGCTTCACAGTAGAGGCTATTTTTATCAGACAAGCAACAATTTCTATTTTGGGTAAGCAAAGATTTTGGCAATGCAAGTGTGCTTTTCCCAGCCTTGCCTCTGTCACTCCTCAGTCTAGTTGATAGGACAGTCATGTTTTACACTGAATCCTCCGAGGCAAATATAGAAGAAACACATTTGCAGTTCTGATCCATCACTCTGCCCTAGACACTGAAATAAATCTAATTTTAAATCTAATGAAGAAATACAGAGAAAGAATCAATGGCTAGAAACTGAAGATTTGGACTAGAAAGTAGAGATTGTTAATTAACTAACCATGGTGACACTGAGAGATGTAAAGTCTCCTCCACTTCTTATAGTCCAGAAAACAAAAATAGATTTTAAGTGTTTTGTTGTGGATAGATGCAGTCGTTCATGGGTATGGTTTTCAAGCCTGTACTATGCAGAAGCCAGAGACTATAACAGCTCTTTCATTACTGTGATGGCAGTATCCAGACATCGGGGTGCTCTGCACTGGGTACTCTGCAGACATCAAGTTACTGAGAAGCTGGCACAGCCAGAGGGCATAACTGAGACCAGCATTCTCATGCAGCTTTCAACTGGAACTTTTCAGTTGGGGTTTTAAAAGCACACAAAGAAAACGGGTTTGCATCTCAGAAGCCTTTTGTTAAACCTTGCTCACAAAAGGACCGAGACACCAGCAATACAGATTAATCCAAGAGAGACAACCATCTGCCCCCTTCTTTAGGGGCAATTCTTGGGGAATCCTTCACCACAAAGTCCACCTGCAATCTACAGCAGTCACGACAGAGGTCTGCACCTCCTCCTGTCCAACAGTATGAAGAACAGCAGGCCCTGCAACTCCCTTGCAGGGATCTACATGGCAACAAAAGACATGTAGACACTGTTTAGAGGACAATGTCCATGTTGAGAAAGTTGGCTTAGAGACAGGAAGAAAGAGAAAAATACTATAGAGACTGGGCAACAGCAGTCATGTCAATCCAGACAGACTGTCTGGAGATAAGATGACCTGTTAAGTGAACCACGTGCTTTTCTGCTGGCCAGACTGAGCCATGTCCAAGTCTTCCAGGAGGCCACCAAACAGGCTAGCTGCAGCTCCTGAAGGAACACCAGAACCTTGAAGCCCACATCTCCCTGCACTCACAGTCTAGGCAGACATATTTTTTCAAACAGAGCAAAGACAGGGCTGGCCAAATGACAGCTGGAAAAAGATAAACACGGGCACCAATTGGCCCTTCCCCTGCAACGGGACATTTATAGATGCCGCCCATACACCCCGGCATTCCAGCGTGTTCAGCCCCACATTCCAGTGCCAGGCGTTCCTGGGCGGACATGGACTGTAAGGCACAAGTTCCCAAATGCTGCTCTGCTCTGGATGAGACTACGGCTGTGAGCAGAGGCAGCTGCTTGCGTGGGGCTGGCTCTCCCCTTGTTTCCAGCTACTACATTACACCAAGAGATGCTAAAAATATGTTAAACCTTTTCCTGATAATACTTTTCTGTGTGAACAGTGAGGAGAGAAAACCCAAAACCTTGGGAGAGTATGGGGAGGAACAAAATGGGACAAATCTGGAGACAAAGCAGGGCTCTGATCAATGTGAAAGCAGAAAAGCAAGAGGGCCTGAGGTCAACAAGAGAACAGATGAACAGGAAAGGAGATCTGTCTGGATGGAATGAGATGGAGACAGAAAAGGTAAAAGAGATGATCCTGAAACAACAGAATGGGAATGCAGAACCTGATGATGACAGCAAAGGGAGGTCCTCTCCTCAACAGGAGGAAAGGAATGGAAGTAAAGACTGAGGACGTGTGTGAAGGAGCAGGCAGAAACCCGGTGGAATATGTACTATCCAGGGAAGATAGAACATGAACAAAGGAAGCGAAGATGAAGAGATGAGATTTAAAACAAGACAGGAGAGACAGATGACTTTGTAATCTGTGAAGTTTGTGAAATCTGGATTTTCTCTCGGCTGAGTTGCCACTACATATCAGGGACTGAAATGCAGGTCACAGGGGCAGGAGTAGCCAAGGCTGTTTCAGGGCTAAGTCATGATACGCCATCACTGCCACTCTGCCTTCTGCAGTCCTAGATGGATCCTGACTTTCTTCTAACGCTTTTGGTATCAGCACCCTGCATCCCTCCTCCTTTCCAAACATCATCCCACAATGAATTTAAGCTGTGCACACAACATTGTCATCTTCTGTGTCAGGAAGAATATTCCCCTCCCTCCTCTGCAGTTTTCAGTAGTTACTTCCTTCCACGATAAAACCCCTGCACTTTCCCATTCACAAGTATCATTCTCTCCTGCTGGATTGCTCCTCCTGCCTTGTTTGAGACAGTTCCTTTTGTGTCTGAACAGTTACACAGGCTATTCCCTTTCCAAAATGGAAAGCAACCTTGCTCTTTGCTCTCCTCATTTTCTTATTCGCATCTTTCTTTTGTGGCTACCTCCTGTTTCAGACATTGTCAAAGCCTACCACAGTTCTGCTTGCCAGTTTTCCTCTGCAAGGAGTACTGTCCTCTCTCACACCAGGGCACAAGGAGATGGCAGGTAAGAGAACAACCATGGCTTCCCCCAGGTAGGGACCCACATCTCGACAGCCCCTCACTTACAGTGCGATTGACTCTCTGTAAGCCACTGCTGGGCAAAGCAGCCAGGGTCCGATAGTCCAGTCTCAAAGGTTCACTGGTGACATTCTGGAGAGGAGCAAGGAGGGGAGCAAAAAAACACAAACAGCAGGAAGAGATCAGGCCAGAAGTCAACTAAATCAACCAGAAAGAGCAATTAAAAGGAAACCACCCCTAGCAATAGTCAAGGTCTTATCTCCACACTCTGCAGAAAGTTCCCATTGCCCGGAAATGAACCAGGAATTGTTCCAAACACAACCATGGGGACCCATGACAGAGGCCAGGCTTGAGAACACCGCAGAGAACATGTCACTCTGGGCCCCTGGTCACCAAGTGGTGCCCAGATCACCACCATTCCTCCTGCCCCCACATGCACACGTCCACTCCCTTACAGGGGGGAGGAAAATGGGACATACATATCAGTTTTCTCCAAATAGCATCCAGAAAGGCTTCCAGTCTGGATGTGGAGACATTTGAGAGTGCAAATACACAATTCCTTTACAGTATCTTTTCTCAACCTTAACTCACTTATACAGCTTTGTTTGATTATGCTTCTCATTTGCATTGGTCTGCCTTTCTAATTCTAGCCATTGCTTTTCACCATTCCTTCCTCAATCACATTACAGATTTCTTAATTTCTGATGTCTTCTCTTACACCCAAAAATAAAATCTTATTTTTTGGGGGGGGGAAGGAGTGGAGAACAGAAGTTATAGGGAACAAGCACTTGTGGAGATTTCTCTGGCCTTCAAGTCCAGTTGCAGCTCTTTTCTGCGAGTCTCCAACCCTCCCACCATGCTCCTCACCTCTGCCTCCTCCTCAAGTTGCTGTGTGGCTGCCTCCCGCTCCCTACGCATCCACTCCTTCCACGAGACAGGACAGAGTCAGAGCAGCATCCAAGCAGTGCAGGCAAAGAAAGAGGGAAACAGGTCAGCACCATGCTGGGGAGTCACTTCAGAGGGGGGACAGAGGAGCATGAACAGCGCTGGTGCCAAGAGAGGGTGAGTAGAAACCCAGCTCAGGGTTCATTGGGCTCAGGGAAAGCGGAGCTGGAATTCTGAACAGACGGGAACAGACACCCCGTACAACACAAGGGTGCCACCACTGAGGGGAAGAGAGCAGATGTCTCTCAGATCCTCAGCAGGGTCAATCCTGGGCAAAAGCAAAGGGAGCTAAAGCCCCCCCACCCCCTTTCCCCCCAAGCACAAGCTACGCCATCACCCAGGGAAAGGAGAAGGTCGCTTATTGCTAGAAGAGACATCTTGACAAAGCACAAAGGGGAGAGGCTGGAAGGGAATGGAAAAACAAAACTACAGAGCGCAGGTCTAGTTGTCACTAAGGAAAAAGACCTAAAAAAAAATCACATGCTTGTTGATAGCACCACAGCCAAAAACTAGAGAGACAGAAATCGTATAAGCACAGGGCAGGGCTTAAAACCCACTGGTCAGCTCTCAGTCACCCAGCGCAACACAGGAATAGAGACCAGTGACTAATCTCACAAGCCCCAGCTATGGGCTTGCTCCCAGGCTGCAAGAAGAAGGTAACAGTATGTTTACTTGTCTTAAAGAATTATTTCAGTATATGGGAATATAGACCTTAGAAGTCCTTAAATACACATCACTGCAACCTCAGAATATTGCTTTAAAATCTATCAAAAGTAAAGCATCCAAGCGAGATGAACTGCAATTACTGTGTATTGTTCAGCCTCCAGGAAGAATAATGATATTTGTTATAAGATGCCCACCACTGTTTTGTTCTGTTTTTTACTGATGGCTGAGTGACTAGTTACTGCTAAGTTTTTTTTATTTTAAATTAACCATTTTAATAAAATTTCAAGTTTCAAGTACCATCAGCACTTAAAAAGGAGATATGGCCAAGGCTGCATCTCCAATCATAAAGGTTTGGGTGGGGGGGGGTTGGTTGACAAAATCTCTGGGGTATTTTTAAGTAATCTCAGTATGAATTTTGGAAAAGCCTTGATCTACCTAAGACTGAACTAATGCAACCTGGTCAGACAGAGCAGCATGGTTTTGGGGCCAGACTTACTCTTGGTTTATCCAGAGGTGTAAGAAATTATAGACTCATAAAATGGTCTGGGCTGGAAGGGACCTTAAAACTCATCCAGTTCCAACCCCCCTGCCATGAGCACGGACACCTTCCACTAGACCAGGTTGAGGATTATTCTATAAGGTCATTCCACTGGAAGAATTCCCATCTAAGTATAGATCTCAAACACCATCAGAACACCTTGCAGATACTTAGGACAGAAATCCCTTGCCCTATTCCTGCACATGCTGACATCAATCTAAGCTGCAGGTCAGCAAAGATAAAGCAAAGCTTCCAAAGGGAGCCTGCAACACACTGCAACGCCTTTTGTCCTCCTACCCCAGCCTTCTGTAAAATCACACCCTGCAGAGCCCACTGCAGTCACTGACAGAAAGCAGAGTAGGATTATATAAATATGAAATATTTATGTGTATATATAATGGTTACACATATCACATGCCTGAAAGGTCATATGACCATTTTCTTGTTCATTGCTCTGTCCTCTTACAGTCCGTGCTATTGCCTGTTCAAAACCTTGACCTTCTTTTCCAAAACTAGTAAAATCTCAAGTATTAACTAAATTATAAAGATCACCTCCAGCCAGAATTGCCAACATAACTACACTCTTGTGGGGCAGAAAATGTAAAAAAAAAACTGAGTAATTACAACTACAGAAAGAACCTACAGAAATATTAGGTATATCTAAATTAGAGACCTGAAGAAAGGCCTGCAAAACGTACACATACTTATCTGCCAAGAGAGCAGATTCCTAATTGACAATAATGGAGATTTCCATTTTCCCTCATCTTCCAAAAGTATTTGACTGAATAAACTACAGTTTTAAGAGGGATAACTAGAAAAGCCAAGTCCTCAAGGGGCTTGACTTCTGTGAAAGGCTGAAAGAGTGAGCAGAAACACAAAACTCTATCATGAATCAGAAAAATGATCACGTAAACTCAGGAGCACAGACTGGTGATTGATTAACAGCACCACTTCTTCAATTCGGGGCAACTTTGAGCTGTGTGTTCTCGTCTTTGCTCATAAAAGCTTTGTCAGGTCATGGAGTGCTGTGAAGAGAGAACTGATTTAATGTGGGACTTCCAAGCTAAAAAGATGGTTTTTCTCAAAGTTGCAGCTTGGCCAGTAAGTACCAGCACGTAACAAAGAAGAACTCTGTAAATACCAGAGGAGTACCACCAAAGAGGTACACAGGAAGGGATGGCAAAGCCAACAAGCAGTGAGAGTAACTGAGCTGTGGCCTCTGACGAGAACAGGCCCAAAGCCCCCCATGGCACTAACAACTGGGTAACCTGCGGCATTCTCCTTAGGGCTCACAGGCAGAACTGCTCTCAAGAACAGATTCTGCGACATGAAAAATCTCTCACCACTTTCTCCATTTCTTCTCTCTCCCACTGAGTTGCTTCTCTCACCATTTCCATCTCCTAGGAGAGACCAAAGTTAGAGCCACGTCACCCCGTGCTCTCTCCCCACTCAGAGCATCTCTAACCTCATGAAGATTTTGGGGTCTCATCCTAGCGCAATCCTGATGAAAGTGCTGGGACCTGCTGATCCCATAAAAAGGAAGTCCACTACCCATTATGTTGCAGATTTCATGCACCAAGGGAGACACTAGAGATATTCAGGAACTTTTTCCACTCCATAACATTCTCCCAGGTGTAGCCAGAACACCCACCTTCTGTAGGATCTCCAGTTCTTCAGGGCTTAAATCCCGATCGATAGAAGAGATACTTTCCAGGCTATTCTTGCGCCCAATACCAGCAGCAAAAGGGTTTGCAATAATTCCTGGGGACATCTACAAAGCAAAAAGGCAAGAAAACATAGCGGAAGCCCAAAGTGTGCCACACAAAAAATCCCATATCCTGAGCTCCCAGGAGCACCCCAGAGTATCAAGTACTTTCCAGGCAAGTCAGAACTCTTTCACTACTTGAAACCTTATTTCAGCTGTCAATTACTCAAGGAACTTGAGGTTTAAGAAAGATTAATTTAAATTGAAACAGGTACAGAAAGGGGATAAGGTGACCAGGGATTGGGTAGATATTCTAGTAGAGAATAAAAAACCTTATTTGCTAAGCCTTGAAAAAAGAAAGGTGAGGAGACACAGGATTGTTATGGGTAAGTGCTTCCCTGTGGGGAAAGGCAATCACCAATAAACAGACAATTTACTTTCAATATAACATTGGCACAAGACAAAATAGGTATAAATAGCCTGGAAAAAATAAGTTTGAAAACTACATTTCTAATCAGTGCAGTGATATAGAATCATAGAATCATAGAATGGTTTAGGTTGGAAGGGACCTTAAAGATCATCTAGTTCCACCCCCCCTGCCATGAGCAGGGACACCTTACACTAGATCAGGTTACTCAAAGCCTCATCCACCCTGGTCTTAAACACTTCCAGGGAGGGGGCATCTACAACCTCTTTGGGCAACCTGTTCCAGTGTCTCACCACCCTCACACTAAAGAACTTCTTCCTAATATCTAATCTAAACCTACCCTCTTTCAGTTTAAAGCCATTCCCCCTAGTTCTGTCATTAACTGTCCTAACGAAAAGTCCCTCCCCAGCTTTCTTATAGGCCCCCTTCAGGTATTGGAAGGCCGCTATAAGATCTCCCCTAAGAAATATATAGAATATATAGTGAAACAGTTCTGTAATCAGCAGAAGAGAGACAGTCTTTAGAGATTATTGCTTTTATAAAGTGGCAACCACCTCCAGTTCATATAGCAGAAGATTAGACTTTGAAATCTGGGACCTCAAAAAAATAAAAAAGCCTACAGCAAAAGGTTGGAAAAACCCAGCAATCTTTTACGAAGAAGGAGGTGGGATCCTTGTGGTACTGGTCACTACAAAGGTGCCCTGCACTTCAGCTCTCACCTCAATGGCAGCTGCAGCCTTGGGATCAAAGCCATCACACACCAGCACGAGGAGAGCATCACCCACACTTCGGAGTATCTGTACTGCTTCTGTATGTGTCATTCCCAGCAAACTCTGATGATTCACCTCCAGGATCCGCATTCCCACCTTCAGACGGCCATCCCGGGCTGCAGCCCCAGAGGAGCTCACCTGTAACAAACGGGGGGATTCAAGACATCACCTAACAAGGTAAGAGAAGGTCAGAGACCATGGGGACCATCAGGAAGAGTGAATGAGAGACAATAGCGTACAAAGGAAGCAGGGAGAAAAGGCTGCAGCTACACGTCAGGAAAGCGTCTGGAAATACTTATACATACTTATGGACAAGGTAGGAAAGGAAGAATATGTACAGTTTGGTAGAGGAAATGGGTGTTGGGAGAAACCTCTTATGTGAGATAAAAAGAATTTGTATTGGCAATGTGATGTCCCAAGGAAAGAAACTGCTTTTGTTTTGTCAATGAAGCAGGTGAGAAAGCAAGCTCTCACATCCAGGATTTATCTTCACAGAAAGGAAAGGGTAATATATTTTTGTTGGGAGAGAGACAGAAAATACGACAATAGGGATAAAGATAAACAAGGCATAAAGACTTTTCACTGTCTTTGTGGTAGAGACAGTGTAAGAAATGATGCACGTCTGTCATTTTCCATCCTCTCTTTCCACAGAAATACTGTGTAACTCCTATTTTCTCTCCTCAGCCAGTCACAAGAATTCATACTTGCCTGATGCACACAAGCTGTCACCAGGGGAAGCAACTGCATGCAGCGTATCTAAGGCACATGAAAGCTAGAGGTTGTCTTGAAGAGTGGAAGCATCCATGTACGTTTGAGGAGAGAGGGAAAGTGCACGCCTTGCCACCAGAACAAAGGCAGTAAAGGCAAGGAGTTTTAGTCATTTTTTTTCCCCTTTGGAATATGGAAAAGAGACTACAGGACTTGCTGTGGGTACAAAGTGAAAGAAAACAAACAAACAAACAAACAAAACCCCAAACACCTGCAAACATGAGGCTCAGGAGAAATATGCAAGTGGGGAAGCAAGAAAAAATTGAACGAAGGCAACAGGAGAAGCTACTATCAGCAACCAGACAGAAATGCAGGATACAACTTCAAGTGCCTTAGGGAAAGGAACAGAATCACCAAATGACCGTTACTTTTTCTAATGGGAAACCAAAAAGCCTGGAGAAAATGGGATGTACACATAGTCAAGCTGGATCAAATGAAGACCTTGGTCCATTTGGAATATAGACAGACCTCACTGGGAACATCAGCGCTTCAATTCAAAGGTCCAGTCTCAAAGCCAAAGAACCAACATGACTAAGCTTTCCAAAGATAATTATGATTAGTGCTACACCAGGGCTCTGCAGAAACAGTAAGTCCGTGTCAGAGATCTCAAGTAAAGCCTGAAATCTATGACAAGAGAATAAGGAGAGCACAAGGGCACACAGAGTTGGTTGCTGGGTGGGGGAAACGCGAGGACATGCATGACAGACTGTCAAGGTAGGATGGAGGCACAGGGAACATCAGAGGAAGGAAAGAAAGAAAGGGCTAATGCACACCACATATTACTGGGGCCAGAGGCAAAAAAACCCCAAAACAAACCAAAAGCATGGGTGTTTATTGGACTTATGAGAGCTGTTTTGGAGAAAAAAAACAACAGATACATGCTTAATAAAGTACTTGTAAAAAGAAGAGGAAAAAATGTTGCATGCATTTTAAAAAAATTTTTTTTTTTTAAAATTTTTTTTTAGGTTTAGAGGGAGAGAAAGCAGCAGACATGTATGTCTACACATAATTTCTTCAGGGCTATAACGGAAAATACTTAAGTGTCTGTGAGTGCACAAAAGTGGTCACATGCAGCTGAATGGAAAGAGTACTCACAATTTCTTTTCCAGAGAGAGCAAGTGCATAAGTGTAACAGTGGAACACCCAGAAGTAATGGAAGGAGGTGAAGTTAATGTAGAAAAAAATGTCCTTAATGCCAACTGCCATCTGTATTATTGATTTGTCACTGAGGGACAGTGAATCATCCCCACTGAGACAGATCACGAATTTCAAATTGTAGATATAATTTATACTTCTCATGGTATTCAACTTGTAACACTTCAAGAAGGTTTTAAAAAGGAAGAACTAGAAGACAACTTTTTAAAAAGATGTCAATTAAGGGACTCAATGGAAACGCAAATTAAGAAAAACCACGGAGAAAGGAGGTAGCAATCAGACACCCAAAGAGGAGGAAGAAAAAGCTCTACTTTGTCTCTCAGTTACTGGAAATATACAGACAAAATAAGAGAATCAGGAAAAGCACTCTGGTGAGGACAGACAAGAGAAATCAAGCTGAAGCAACAAAGTTTAAGGGAGAGCAGAAAAGTTTAGTGTTTTTATTCTCCACAGGCTAAAACAGCTACTATTTAAAAAAAAAAGTGGGGGGAGAGAAGTAAACTAAGCCTGCAATGGGGCTGAGCTGTAAGCCTTCCAAACCCCTAAATGCTGTAACACTGAAGGAGATAAAACCAAACCTAATCATTAAAAATAATTGTAGGTTACAATAATCTCAGGTTTTCTTTTACTGCTATTACAAATATTGCAGTTGAATGTGCAACTATTACTTTGACAGAGTGAATTTACTCTTGTAACTTTAAAACTCAGATAAAGAACTTTTATCCAAGTAATAACAAATGCTGAGCATTCAGTTTCTTTGAATGTAGCTAATTATTTGAAAGGTTTAACAGGCAATTACGGAGTGGCCACCATTCAGCAAGGATTATTAAGACCTCTAAAGCCAGAGGAGAGTGTCTATCTACCCTACCACACCAGCTAAAGAGGGAACCAGTGACACCAATGTGAATATCCAGAGTCCTCCTTGGGCCAGCAGCAGGGCCAAAAATTACACCACTTACCACTATGCTCTGTCGCTAACAAGAAAGAAGAGGTAATATTCTTTGGTAAGGGTCAGGAGAAGCGTAAGCTTATGCACAGTATATTGTTGAAAAGAAAATATGCATTACTTCTTGGAGAAAAGTGACAGGACAAGTAAGTATGCACACATGCAGTCCTTCACAAAGGAAAGGGACCAATAATTACACACACAGTGCATGGCACAGGAAGAAAGGTGAGGAATTCATAATGCTTTTGGTGAAAGGAGGAAAAAGCATGCATGTCTGAGTGGGCAGGGAGGCTGCAAGCACTTGGGGGAAGCAATAGGAACAGAAGGGAAAAGGAAAGATGTATGGGTTCATGTTACAAAAAAAAAAAAAGCAAGAGAAGAAACGCAAGGCAAAGTAAAAACCAACGTAGGAAGTGAAAGAAGAAATTTTGTAGCTGTTGTAGAGAGGGAAATATGAAAGGAAAGAGATGTGCCTCCCTCAGTGGATGGAGAATATTCCAAGAGAATTGATGTACCCAGTGAAAAGCAGAGAGAACAAATCCCACAGGGATCACCCTTTTGCCAAGCAGTCCTTCCATGCAACCAAGCTGCAGAGCTAGTGGTCTGGTACCTTAGAAATGAAGATGCCTTCATCAGTGGGATCAAATGGATTTCCAGCATGACCTTTTGCTCCACCCCGGATGCTGATGCCCAGCTTTTCTCCTGGAGCCTTTTCAATGCATATTTCCTGTAAACACAGAAAAGGTCTCCTTGTTTCTGGCTCAAGTTCACACTGGAATTGTTGAGGAAACACTCCCAGCAGCCGGACATGTTCTGAATACCCTGAAAAGGGCCTAAATTAGACCTCTCACTCATTTGGCACAGTTTATTGCTTTTAAAGAGGCTCTGCCCTTTTTTTGTACTTCTGTCTCCTGTTCAGGTCTGGTCTTCATGAACTCTGATCATTCTCTGATCACAGTATCACCACAGGCATGGCAAGAGACCTTCCACAGTCCTCAACTGGATATATACTTACAAGAGAAGGAAATTTCAACCAGAAGTTTGGTTGTATCCTAGTGCCAGATTTCAAGCTCGATAAGAAACTGCCTTCAAAAGCAATCCTTCTACAAAGAAGATTGCAATTCCCCCCAGTTCTCTTACTCAGAACCTACCTGCATACCAGGTGGTGGTGGATCTCGCCTTACTAACATAGTCAGCTCCTGAGTGTTGGAGAGCAGGGCATTCACTGCTTCCTGGTGGGTAGCATGGCGCAGGTCAATGCTATTTACCTCCAGGATCCTGTCCCCTACACGGAGCCCACTGCGAGATGCCAGTCCACGGGGAATGACCTACAAAGAATCATTAATATTATAACTAGAGAAGGAAATTCCATCTCTCCTTGGAGAGACACTCATTTTGTCCCTAGACTACCCTCCAACATCCTCTGAGGCCTGTTTTGACTTCTCTCTCTGCAACCAGAGTTCCTTAAGAGGTAACGTACCTGTGAACACTGGCAAAGAATGAGGTAAGGTTTGCTTTAAAGTGTCATTCGATATGATCTTATATTCTCATTTTCATCTGAACCAATCCTATGTCAGCTTTTCCCTTATTTTTCTTGTGACTGTAACCAGAAGACAACTTTCTCACAATATATCTGAAGGAATTCAAATGTTAAACCACATGTCTGTTGTCAGAAGTGCATCATCTCCCATGACAAATGGCCACTGTACCAGGACTGACAGTGTCAGTACAACTCCAGTCCTCAAGAAATGCCCTAGAGGGGATTTTGAGAGCTACAGGGTTACTAACCAAGAAACCCAACTTCCATTTCTGGTAAAACAATAGAGTCAACAAAGAAAGAGTGAGACCTGTGAG